GTGAAAAACACCCTTTCGAACTTCAACTCATCTCAGCGTTAGCTTAGACAATGAACATGCAGTTATTTGGTGCTAAACGATCCAAGCGCTCTTCCACCACCCATCCTACGCCCCAAAGAAACCACATCATCGCCAAAAAAAACTATGCCTACCTTGTCTGCGTTTGTGTGTGGTGGACTTCAGGAGGATTTGTTCACTGTGCATTGTTAACCTGTTGAAGGCCAGACAATGATTTCGACTGTGATCCACTCCAAGCAGTGCAACCCGAAGGTGTGCAGGAAGTATGCGTTTATTAGAAAGAATTGAGAATAATCTATCAATCAGAAGAATCATATAACTAAAAGACAACTTGACGTCTCACGCCCCAAAATTATTCCGGTAAAAGCTTGGCACTTTTGAGTTGAAGATAGAAGCCGCCTCGTTCCCACTCCCATCTCCATTCTCATAGCTCTCCAAGGGATTATCACCTTTTCTTAGTACAGTCAGTACTAAGAGCATTTCGGCACGGCAACTAATGCAATCCTTAACAAAACTCAGAGTACTGCACAAAAGTGTTTTTTCAGCAGCATATGTTTTACAGTACAAAATACTGCTGCCCTCTTAGCGCTGCTTCAGCTCTGACTTTACCCCGGCACTTTTTTCCTCAGGCTTTCCCCAAGCTCATGGCAGTCATCCCTCGTGGTGGTTCACTCCCTGTACTTCTTCACCAGCATGCCAGCAAACCGACACCTTCTTCCATCTCTACGTCTGCATCGTATCCTTAATAGTTCCTCGGTGCGCTCTTCTCCGTGCTTCCTCATAAAAGGATGTTGTAGTGTAGTAGACTAAAGGCATTTTAGAATCCATTCATTGTAATGCTGTGTCAAGCGTAAATCGGATCACGGTTAATGGCAAAAGTTATTCAACATTACAGTTTCAGTCCCCTGCCATCCATAATTAAATATGTAATTGCGCTAATTATGTGCTAATCTCGGGTAACATATAAAGAGGATAAATAGGTTTACTTTAGAAAGAAGAGGCACTCTAATTACAATTTTTCTTTTGTAACGCTAAAATTACTGTTGCGTAAATCGCACCACTCGTGAATACCATTAGACGGTTATAGTATTCGGATACCTAGTAGTTATTTCTTGTCACTTGTTCATCATAATACATGTTTGCTTCATAACAAAAAAATTGTCAAAAAAAGCTGAATTTAGAAAAGGGCACTAAGGCAACTAAAAGTAGTTTTGCTGTGGCGGTGCATGTTAAGTCAGATTCGCAGTACTGCCACAGAAGAAGACCGAATGATGCATAAACTTCTATTTCAAAGTAGTTAAAGCAAACATCATCAAGATGGCGAAAGACTTTCAAAATTAGCAGATGAAGCTTCAATGGAAATATCGTTAATCCGAGAACCTACTCTGTAGTGCCACATTGGCATCTAACTGTTTGACAAACTGATAAACTAGATCCTATTATTCCACTGCTTCAGTACTCCAGGACATTATTTTGTGCAACTGATTTGTGGGTTTGTTTGGCACTACGAACAGTATTTCTGCCCTCCAGTGTGGTGAAAACTTTCTCAGGGAAAGTGTGGCCTCAGACCCGTTTTTTTGCATTAAACTCCTGTGTGTGTTTGTATTTTCACACACGCATACAGATATGAGGGACCAGTATCTTAATCAACCAAAAGAATGCAAAATTCCCTAGCCCTTGAGCACAAAATACAAAATAAGTTTACAGAACCTAATTAGTATACGCAGAGAAGAGTGAGGGTAATCGTCTTAAAAAAAACAAGAAGTAAATTGTATTTTGTGTTGCCCCTATAAAATTAATAGAGATCGTAATGCTGAAGACTTTGATGGAAACAAGATAAATGATTACAGCAGCAATCTCGGAGTATAGGTTTGCCAACAAGCATGGCCTTCCACTAGATTTGAAACGTATGCGAAAGTTTACGCAAAATTCGAATGATTAGGAAAGTATAACTTATTACGACACACCGTTGTGCATGAATCGGACCTTGACTGTTACTACGATAGGTACCAAAACTTTTCCGGAGATTAATTGGCTCCTCCACCAGAGGCAAATTTTTTAAAATTCAAGGCAGAGACAAGCCACCAGCCACGTGAAAAAAAGCAAATTAAAAATGGAAAGTTTAGAGGATAAAGTGTGAATGTAGTTTAGTTTGAGAAAGGACATTTTACTCAAAACATTGGAGATGCACAAAGAAAGGCTTAACACAGCAGTGGATACTCCAATGTCTGTTTTCGGTAGATAAACCTTTACATCTCTGCAAAGGACAGTTAAAAAGATGATGGATGACTCAACATAACCAAAGCGAAGAAATTTTTTCACAATATTAATTTATATAATTCAAAGCTGACCCATGGGGGTGGTCTAGGATACGGAATTTAGGCATCCATTGCGTCTATTCCTCAATTCATATTTAATAGCTATTTACTTTTTATTAAAAAAATGATAGCTCGTGAGGAGACAATTAAAATGCGAGTAAAACGGGGGTATACCTCTATGTAGCTTGTCCCTTTAAACGCCATTAAAGGTAAGGTGTCCGGTTCCCGAAGCTATCATACTTAATTGAAATTTGCGATGCAGCATGAAGTGTAAAACCGAAAGACTATCCACTCGTCAGTGCTAACACAATCGAAGTCACAGACATAGGGTTAATGGAGAGGGAGTGGAGTGGAAAAATGATGCCAGAAAGTGGTGGGAATCCGGCACACCGCATTCGGTCTTGCGTGTGAACAGAGGCACGCGTACACACACAGGCTTGTGCGCAGTCTGCACCTTATTTTGCTGTTAAGAAGCCTCGAAAGGTAGCGCTTACACACACAGAACCGCCTTTGCATCCTTTTCCTACTGGCCTCTCAAATCCGCTTTCCTCTATTCCGCCCGGTTTTGTCAAGACTGGGCAAGCGACAGTTAGAAGATGACGCAACAAAATTTTATGAGCTGTGAAAACTTAGACTGATTTTTGGTACGTTAAAAGGTAATGATTAACAAACGGAAAAGTATTGAGGGGCTGAAGAACGACACGTACAGTTCGTAGGATAAGGACGGCCACCGTGATTTCCGAAACCTATCTGCATTCGACTGTGAAGTGGGCCGAATTTGTAATAACAGGATAGTTGGTCTTTTAAAAACACCGAATCGGAAGACAAATGCAGCAACTTCACTCTTTACGAGGTCATAATGGAATTAGGTTCAAAATCTGTTTTGAAGACACCGGGTGAATACACCTGGAAGTTTTAACTGTTTCCATAATTACAAACGTTTCAGAACAAAGTACCGGATGCATCATTGAATTCCAAAGTAAACAAAGGTATTACCAATAAAACACACACTGTTACTGCCATTCCAAATTCAAAAGAACACTTTTAATGATATAACTGCAGCACAATTAAAATCAAGCTAAATAAAGTTATCCATTATGTACAGATTAAAAATAAAAGCTGATTATTTATATGCACATAAAATTCATGAATTCTGCCATTATTCTGATTCGAATTAGGAAACGGGCAAATCAATGGTGGATTGATATATTAGTGATATTGGCCTGATATATTGCAGGTATGAACTGACCTTGTAATCCAAACTCATCCGAGTCTCCATCCATTTCGTCCAAATCACTCAGTATACGATCCAGTTTAGCTAAATTTTCTTGAAGGGGACGGCGCGGCATGCTTATGCTAGGTCGTGATTTTTGTCTGACGTCAGACAGAGTAGCGGAGTTCGGTGACCATAATTTGGGATCGGTTGCTGCTCCGTTTCCATTCGTAGAGAAAATAGGCAAACCCTGTTGAAGTACGTGCTGTTTTGTCACGCGCAAGTCTTCAAGCAATGCATCTTAAATATTTGTCAGCAAAAAAAATAAAAAAATGATGATTTTGGCAAGTAGATGATACAAAGTAGCCAATCTCATTACCAAAATTTTAAGGAGGTTCCAAAAAGTACAACCTTAAAGAAAAATAAAAAGGTGTTTTAGCTTATCATATGCAGGTCATGGAAGGCAATCCATTCTCCTAATAATTCAGGTTGTAGTTAAAGTTCAAGTTCTTTTCCAGTTACAAAAATACTTGCCAAGCAGACTAAACAGTATACAATTGGGTTAAAAGACATTCAACATTAAAATTTCAAGTGTTCCTTAGTGTCACGAGCACAAAAATTTGACACTGGTATGGCCATCACCATGTCTTTGAAAACGCTATGAAAAGAATACAAATAGACAGCGGTTCATGCAAGAAAGAAAGCACACCCATGAATAGATAAAGTCTAAAACAAATTCTTCCTTAAACCAGTCAGATTTAATTAGATAGCATAATGAGCTGGTAGTTTAGTACTAAAGCATCGACTAAATGTGTATATGAATAACATTCTGTCTTTATGACATCAAGCAGATCAAGAACGGCACTTAAAGCAAATGCTCACCATAACGACATCCTTTAAAAAATAGCATAGAATCTAACGCAAGTTAAGATTTACAAAAGCAGGCTAAGAATTAGTGAATGGAAATCATGCTTTTTGTGTCCTAGCCTCGAGTGAAAGGAATTTTCTTGTGTGCGGAACAAACAAACACAAGAGAGCATGCCAAAAAAAACAGCCTAAGGAAGTACAATAGCAAATGGGGGATACAATGCTTTAGAACACACCAAGATTTTCCATGGCCTTAAAACACCGCGGCAATCACAAGAGCAAATTCAAGGTCAGACCTGGTAAATTATACAGCGTATTGACCTTGTCATAATTAAGATTGAAGTTTAATGCTTAGAGGCATAAAAAAATTAACATCAATATTCATTAGTGTTGGAAGTATAGTGATTAAAACCAACTAATTAAGAATTTAAATCATTGTACGGGGTACAAAAACCCACTATTTTTGCATTGACAAATGGAAAGTAGTTCTTCGTGCAACGTTTATAATATCTAGGAGGAAGGAACTGTAGGAAATGCAAGGATGTTGCATAACAAGTAAACCAAGAGGATATGATTCTAAGAAGAAACTTTTGGCTGACGTTTGGATGCGTATAAGCAAAATATTACAGAGAAGGTAAGTGCTCTAAAATACACAACATCAAGTATGCTCCTAAAATCCATGTTTGCCTAAATATAACTTTTAGGCTAAAATCTGTTAGAGAACACGAATCTCGTGAAGAAAGGGAATACTCAAAAGGCGCACAGTTCTGATCTTTGAGGTCCACTCATGCAATAAAGAATAAAGAAAGTCGTTACAGTAAAGGCCCACATTTTCCAAGGAAATAAAGACAAGGATGAAAAAAAAACCCTGAATCCAATCCATATTCTCATTATTCCATAAAGCTAGTTGCAAATACTTCATTTCCAAATTTATGACAAGTTTTGCGCATCTATAATACTTATGTTGTTCTAATTGACCTTCCAGTGAGGAGGCAAGTAGAAAATTAGAATCTCGTGGTCAGATTGTCCTCCCCCGTACATAGTGACTACAGCTTCCCTCCTTCTTTAACATTGTATTTCTCCTCACCATCTTGTCACCTTTAATAAAGATGTCCAAAGGGAATCAACCGGGCTTGTCTAAGAAGGTTAGGAATAGGAAAGCTGAGGCCGATGAGTCTTGCTTTACACATCTGTGTTAGGCCTGAAACTGTTAAAGTAGCACTGAAGACTCAGGCACTTTGTCTTTGCAAGTTGTGTGCACCTATCGAACGATAGCCTAGATGTCAAACCAACTCGTTTTCTGGTCCACTTTGTTAGTATGTGATTGTTTATACGTCCCTAAAGTATTAACTTCTCTTATATCAAACTTAGGTGCCAAAAAACTACTTCATCAATTAATGCAGCATGGGCACAATGGTTAGCGGTAATAGGCAAACTGTGTACTTGGCTATAAAAACGAGGAATTATAGGAGCTTTATCTTTAAAATTCTTTTAGGACAACGTTGTTATACTTGTGTTGTTCTAACTGTACCCTTCGGAAAGGAGGTGGGTATTTGAATCGAAACCCGTTTTTGAGGGGCGGTCAGCGTTTTCCAAACCGGAGAGGAGCCACTTATCCAAGCTTTTCTAAACTTGAATTTAACCGCGTTGATGCCGGACAAAAAGGTTTAGATCCGATTAGCCTTGTTGTTGTAAGGGCTCAAGAGCCTGGGAAGAGCGGGTAAGCAAGGCTAGTGATGCAAAAAATAAAAGCCTTTTATTTACACTTAGTCTTAAAAGTATAAACATATTGTACTAAGTAAAAAAACAGTATTTTAGTAACAATTTCCCATTGTTTTGCTTGATAAGTGTTGTTAGGATGCTTTGTTTTAATAAATGCTTAAAAATCGCAAGTTTCTGAATTCTATTTGACTGGTATAGTAGTCAGTTGAAGTGGTGCTTCGTAGGTCTTGCGTTTTCGGTAATATTGTATTAGGTGAGATGGATAAATATGTTATTCAAAACACTGACTCGTCAGTGTCCCCAAACGTCCCTCAACCGATTAACATTCCTGATCTTGGGAAGAGTCTTCTTAACGCCTCTCGCAATGGTGATGTTGAGGAAGTAAAAAGCCTTCTTAATAACGGTGCTCCATTTGCAACTGATTGGGTATGACCGTTTTTCTCTGTACGAGATATCCACCGTTCAGACATTTTGTAAATATGGGTGGTTTATCCACTTTTCTAAATGTAGTTATTTTTTAGCAGGTTTCTCCCACTAGTGCCTAGTCTAATTGTTTGTCCTAAATCTCTGTGGATTTATTTTGATTTTTAATTGCATGTAAGCTTCTTACTGTGTGGATTTCTTCAATTCGTATACCTATGTTGCGTTGCTGCATATATGTGTATACATACGTATGTGTAATCACGTATGCATGTATAATTATGTCTGTAGCGTTATTTTGACACATTATCGCATTCCAGTCATGCTAGCAAATATCTGTCTTGTCATTCAGCTGGGTATGTCTCCTCTTCACTTTGCCGCCATGAACGGTCATTTGACTACATGTGAAGCTCTGCTGAACGCAGGCTTTAGTCGGGACGCGAGAACCAAAGTGGACCGCACGCCATTGCAGCTGGCTGCTCAGGAGGGACATGCTGATATCGTCGAATTACTCCTAAAAAGTGCAGCTGATATCCATGCCGTTGATACCTTGAAAATGACCGCTCTTCATTGGGCTGCCGAGCGTGGGCATTACCCCGTTATTCAAGTGCTTATGCGGTTTGGGGCTAACATACATCGGAAGAATAAGTTTGAATTGACCCCCCTTGAAATAGCTGAGTTACGTGGTCATACCGAAGCCAAAGATGCCATGTTGGTGAGTCTTACATGACTATTTTTATCACCACTGTTTTTTGGGCCTTCAGTAATTGGTATTTTTGGTTATGAAAAAATAAGATGACACAAGTGGAGGTTAACCCTGCTGTTGGGAAGATGGCGGCACCTAATGAAGATCTAGCAGATCCGACAGCATTCATCATCACTGATGAAGAAACAGTGATTCCGGCGGCACCGCCTGCGGATGAAGTGATTATCTCTAGCGTCAAGGCCGAGCCAAACACTGATGAGATGTCCGTGGGTGCATCTGACCCTCTGTTGACCGGAGATAACAAGGAAGCTTTACTTGATTGGGTGGTCTCTGGCTTCGGAGGCAAAGGTGTTGTGGAAACCAGCCAGGGTTCATTCCCTCACCTCACTCCTACGGACCAGTACTTTGTATCATCAAATAAACCCGATCGCACCTCATTCGAGTCCCAGTTTCTCGATGGCCTGGACCTTTCCTTTCAGGCACTGGAATCCAACAACCTTACACATCTTAGTTCAAGTCCCATTGATAACAACATGGTGAGTGAATGTGGGGTTCAGTTTTTATCATGAACAGCTAGTTGTTGAGACACCGGACGGAAAAGTTCTGTATGTGCGTCAAGAAGATAATGAAAACTACTCAAAAATTACTATTTTTAACAAAGACGGGGAGCTAGTCGACGATGACGATTTGCTCGAAGAGGTAACCACTGCCCTTTCTAGCTACCAGAATCGGGAAGACGTTGGAAACAAGTAAGATTCCTGTTTTTTCATCTATTGAACTGTTTTTTTTTAATCTGATTATCCGGTTGAGTGAGTAAACGGAATTGGCAAAAATGTCTTACTTGCTTTGTAATTGCACTGCTTAAATGCTACATGCGCTCGCTTGTGTAATTTGTAGTTTTCTTGATACGCTTGATGAAGACAAGCTTCTGAAGTCGGATGACCTACCGGTGAGTGATCTGCTATCAGGTGTAGAGGCGACGGAACTTGACCATGAGTCCGACAAGGGTATGCTGCTTCAGCAACTCGTGCACTTCGCCAAGGGTGGGGGCGGAATGGGCTCCTCACTCTGCGTCGATGGTGCGTTTACATTCTGCTTCAGTTTAACCATATACGGCTTTAATATTGTAAATGAGTTAGTTTCTTTGGATTTCATTTAAATTTGATCATTCTCAAGAGCGGCCTTACCACTGTGCTCCGATACTGGTTACATTATTGTCTTAATGTAAATTAAGGGCGGCGGATATTATTCTAAACGAATTCTTGAGTGGGTAACATTGCTACCAAGAAAAATTTTGTGTAATTGCATAAATCATTCTTGCTTAACGTGGGAACTTCCCTGCTACAACAAATCTCTAGGCGCTCCCGAACTACCGACAAAGAAAAAACTTGTTTCGTGGTTCGGAACTCTTGGACTTACTGTGGCCGAGTTTCAGAATTTCGAGCATTTTACAGTTTCATTTACCCATGAAGATTCCAAGTTCTCATTACACGCTTCTTACTGTGAGCAATTTCTTGTTTTATTTTGAAAATCGTGGTTTGCGCTGTGGCTTGATCTTATCTCTCCATAGTTTACACCTGATTTATACCTAGACGTGGCTCAAATTAGACTTTGCATTTTCCTGCCATCATTTTCCATTTTTCGGAACGTGTTCAAGCTTTTGCAAGTTCCCAGAGAAGCTACTGCTCTTTTAGGTCTCCAATCGCGATCAATAACGTTCAATCATTGAGTGGGCGTCTTGGAAGAAGAAAGTTGCTCTATTTCCCTTGTACATACCATACCTCTACTTCGTCTCCTCTCAGATTCTGTACTTATTTTTTATACATTTGTACACTCTTTTCTACCTCTTCGATTCAAGGTCATGCTCTGTCAACCTGTTCAAGTAGCTCTGCAAAAGGACTGCATTTGTTCGATCATACACTCAATTGTACAGACCTCTCAGTTTCTGAGACTTAGCCACCACCTTGGTGTCTTAATATCCGGTTGTTTATTCACTGTCACCTATCTTTTCCGTACCTCAGTAATAAACCCCTTCCCAATTCCCGTTTTGTCACATATCAAGGGGTGACGCTGACACTATGACTCCTCTTGGAACACGAATGACATGTCGACTTCGTTCTAGATCACGTCGAAAACCACTTATTTGTATTAGGCTGGAGGTTAAATGCCTGTCAAATTTAACTGCTTCCCCGTTCCTAGTCTGCGTTTGGTGAGTGTTAATGGCGCTCTGGTCCACACTGTGACCTTTTGCAATGTGTTCTCCGTTTACGGAGGCCATCTCTCCCACCTTGGACGTTTAGGGGTGCCATTCAACATCGACTCTTCAAAAAGAAGTGTGACTCAAAACGTGCAGGTAACTCGGAGGAGCTGATGCACTGTCCAGCATGGGTGAGAAAGGAAACGAAGATTTAATCAAGTATTGTACTATAAGCATGTGTCGAGGTGTTTTAGTCTCACAGATCTCAGGAGCTATGAAGTTGGCTGTATGCTTCCTTTGTTTGCTAGGGGCAACTTCTGCAGAAACTTGAAGGTGTGGTCTATTCACAAACTAGCTCGATGAAGTCCAACATAGGGTCAAAGACGTGAATGATAATTCTTAATCTTCCAAGAATATATAATAAGTATGTGTTCGAACTAAAGTCACCATGATCAGTTCGCAAGCAACGTGCTGTCTGGTGCTCTGGAAAGTGGATTTGAAATTCAAGAAACAATTAGTTGACAAAAGGCGACATTCTGTGGTGCCTACATTTTTGCAATAAATGAGTGTTTTTGCCTATTTTATCCCTTAGATTAAAAAGACGTTTGTAAAATATGCATTTAACTGCGTAGGCTTCTTGGTCTTCGCAAGTTATACCACTATCCTGGCGGCAATAAGACCTATCTCTGTCCATTGCCCTCAGTCCTTCTGTAGTCCAATAATTAAGAGTTTTCATGGTGGTATACCCGATTTTAATGCCTTGATCCTTTGTTTAACTCTTCGTTTTGGTTTCACGTGCAATTAAGGCTCCGCCTTTGTTCTTCCACCGGGTGACACGGCCTCTGAGCCACGCTAATAGCCCCTGATTTTCTTGTTCACAGGCAATACGCTTTCAGCCCTAATATTAAGACCTCCTCTGACTTCAGGGAAACCTTGGCACGCTATATTGGTGGCAGCAGAAAGCTAACTAGATCCTGAAGGACAAATATCCTGATTCCTAACACTGAAACCCAAACCTTTACTTGATGGAAGATGGGCATATGCTACGAATGGGAGAATCTGTGACGATCCATAGTAGAAAGGCCGAAAATGACATCCACCTTCGGCAACTACCCCAC